CTGCAGACCCCCGATGGGGCTGTTCGGGTGCTGTTTCTGTCCAAGGGCAGTGGTCGAGCACACATCCCTGCCCCTCTGGAGCAGGGTGTGGTGGCTGCCTTCAAGCAGCTGTACAAGCGGGAGCTGCTGCGGCTGGCTGTGTCCTGCGCTGGGGGCTCCCCGCTGGACTTCATGCGAAGTTTCATGCTCAAGGACATGCTCTACCTAGCTGGCCTCTCCTGGGACCTGGTGCAGGCAGGCAGCATCGAGCGCTGCTGGCTGCTGGGCTTGCGGGCTGCCTTCGAGCCCCAGCCAGAGGAATGTGTTGGGCAGGGACAGCCAGCCGGCCAGGCGGAGGAGGCGGCGGAGCACAGCAGAGTGCTGAACGACCTCACACACCTGGCAGCCCTGGCCTACAAGCGCCTGGCTCCGGAGGAGGTCGCCACGTGGCTGCACCTGGATGACGATGGGTGCCTGCCTGAGGGCTGCCGTGAGGAGGCGAGCCCTGGCCGGCTCCCTGCCCCAGCCCTTTTGTCCCGTCTGCCCCCAGGCAGCCTCCCCTCTCCAGCAGAGGGTGGGGAGGGGGCGTCGGCTGTCCCCACCGCTGGGGAGGCCGTTCGAGGTCTCGAGACCGCTCTGCGGTGGCTGGAAGGCCAGGACCCCCGGGAGGTGGGGCCACTGAAGCTGGTGCAGCTGCGCTCCCTGATCAGCATGGCCCGGAGGCTGGGTGGCATTGGGCCCTCCCCAGAAGTCCCCGACGACGGGGTATGACCAAGCCAGCCCGAGTGGCCTTTGTCCTGCTGCACCCGGAGGGAGGGGACACAGTCTCCCCTTCTCCTCCCCTCAGTGGCCTGCCCCATGACCAAGGGGCTCTGGGGATGCCAGCCTGACCAGCCAGGAGGAGCTGTGTGAGTGGAAGGTCATCCTGGGGGCTGGAAGGGAGGCCCCAGTCTTGTGCTCCCCCTGCCTGGGTTAGCACTCCCATAGGGTCTGTGGCCTCGGCTGGGGCCCCTCACACAGGCCTGGCACTCAGGCCACAGCGCCTACCAGAGGGCGGTTCGCTGTGTTCTGCCCCGCCCCTGTGGGGCTGAGGCCTCCACCCTGCCCCGTGGTGGCCAGTCACTTCACTGGACAAGGGCCCCGCATTCCTGTCCACCTGGAGCCCTGGTGCTGCGTGGATCCTGTGCCACAGCCACAGCCACGTGGCGCAGCGGGGAGGCACAGCACTCGGGTTTGTTTTTAGCGCATTAAGTCCATTTTCACAGATAATCTACGAGAGGCAGGGTGGTGTCTCAGTCCCCAGCCTGGGTCTGGTCTCAGAAGATGGCTCCGTGGGCTGGGAAGGGACTGTGCCCGCACCTGGGCCTTCTGAGGTTCTGGTGTGTGTGGGTGTAGATTTCAGCTCCACTCAGATTTTAATTTTCCTTAAGAAAATACATCTCTGAACAGCTCTCTCATCGCATGGGGTTGGTGTGCGGCCAGACTGCAGCCTGGTAACTTGAACAGTGACTCGCCAAGCTCCCCAGACTCCCCCAGCAGCCACAGCCCACTCTGTCCAGCCCCGGGGCAATCCACCTACCCCGGAGCAGACCGGCAGCACTGACAGTCATACCAGGACAACCCTGCGGTGCCTTAGGGCCCCTCCGGCCTCGTCTGCCTCTCCTGGCACTGCCATGGGCCCCAGGAACTGGGCTTCTGTGTGGCACAGTTTGAAAGCGGGGAAGGGCCCTCGTGTTACTGCCCAGCTCACACCTCTGCTGCTCCGTCCAGCTGTTCAGATCCCTGCTGCTGATCTGAGGCGCGGAGTGCTCGCCCCAGGGCGGGAGGGGGCCTGCCTTTACAGAGAGGTCGCTCAGAGCCTTCGAGAGGTGCTCCCCCCTCACTCTCACCTGCCCTGTGTCGTCTTGGTGGCTCGAGACGACAGAGGCTGCTGACTGGTGGTGTGTGCACCATGGAATGGCTTCAATGCACTGAGGCCGCTGCAGGGAACCCTCAAGCAATTTCCACTCAAGTCCAGGATCACCGACTGTTCCCTAGAACTGCCCCAGTCAAGACAAAAACCACACGCGTGCATAAAATATCTCAGGTCTGAAAGCTGAGGAAAGGATGGGGAGAATTTGTGAGCACCGGAAGTGAGCCTTGGCTAGCCAGGCGCAGGGCAGCGCCTCCAGCCTCGCCTGCCAGGGCCCATCTGGTGCATCCCCTGTCAGCTCTGGAGCCTGCACACCTACGGGAGCCTTTGGCAGTCTGAGGCTGGCCCTGGGTCTCTAACCCAAACAGCTGGCACAGGGCTTCAGGGACCCAGGGCTGGGAGCCTGCTGGCTGCGGAGAGGCGGCATAGGGTCCAGGTGGGTTCCCCATGCAGCCCAGTGGCCTCAGTAATGGCCCTTCTGCCTGCAGCACTGCTGGCCCCTCTGGCCAAGGTCCTAAGTCTCCCGTCTCACCCTCTGCGGGCTGGGGCAGGGACTGGAGTTGGTCCTGAGATGGGTGAGTCTCTCCTGGAGCTGCCTCGTGGCACTGGCCCAGACTTCACCTGTGGAGGAGGCTCTGGTCTTCCCGGGGGGCCCTCAGTGAGTACTCCATAAAGTGAGGCTGGTCCGGCTGGCCTGGGGCTTGAGCTAGTTAGTGCCTGGTGAGTGTGGGTCTGGGGGGCTGTTGGCTTCAGTGGGCTGGTGGCCCCCTCACGAGAGGGCTTATAAAGGTGTCCTGAGTGAAGGCGCTGGTGTCCTGTGTGTGCCACAGGACAGAGGCTAGGCGCACCTGGCCCCCAGGACGGCCCCAGTAAGAGGCCATTGTGCCCATCACAGCACAGCCACTGGTTGGCAGTTACCTATCTCTCTGGGCTCAGCTCAGTATGAAGTCATGGGGTGGCCTAGCCAGAGGCTTATGGCAGGAGGCCCCAGAGCTTATCCCTGCAGAATGACTGAAGCGGACCTTAGCTGGTGGTCGCACTTGGCAGCCTGCCCCTCACTGCGGTTACCTGCTGGGCCCGAGTGCTTGAGCCTACAACCTGGTTCGTGATGACCGGAAGCTGAGGTGGTAGGTGGCACCGGGGCTTGGGGTCTTGGTGGTTGCTGCTGGAATTCTTTCAACATTAGTCGTCTGCAAGCCAGAAGCTGTTTCCCTGGAGGATGACGTGTCCTCTGCCTTAGTGTGGGGATGCCTGCAGTCAGGGAGGTGTTTGGGGACAAAGCCATCGGCTTCCCCTCCTGTTCACTCCTTTTGACTTGTACTCAAGGTGTGAAGGTCACTGCCCTTCTAGGAGGTATGCTTTGGTCCGGGTCAGTGAGAGCTCGCCCCGTGGGCTCGGCAGTGGGCGGGGAAGGGAACACGTTGGGTGAAACGAGCAAGCGCACAGGCTTCATTTGGCTGAGACCACCCAATGTGCGTATTTTGAGGGAAGAGGCCAGGCAGCAGCTACCAGGGGTCCCAGCCCTGCCTGAGGGGGCTGCGTGCTTGGGAGTGGCCACCTAGATGTCCAGGGACCCCCAGCCTGTCGGCCCAATGCAGGTTGGGAGCCCAGGTTGTGGGTAGGGCCATGGGTATTGTTTGGCCCACAGTGAGGGTGGCCAGCCATGACACTTCACTCCAGCAGCATGTCCTTGGGAGGACCGTGGGCTGGTGGGCTGCATGCTCTGAGTGGTTCTTTCACACCCAACCTCGCTGATGGCGGAGCCGACCTGGTCAGGTAGGCCCAGTGCGCTTTATAATAAAGGCTGAAAGTGTCAGCTTCAGACGCATCCCTATTCTAAAGTCTTATTTGTGTAGCTTTGACCCAATGCTTGGATCTAGAACAGTTCATAAGCTGAACAAGTGGGGAGGGCGTGAAAATGAGGCAGCACCAATGGAAGCTCCTACGCACGTGTCCGGGAAAAGGCACTTCGACCTTGTGCTGTGAGGTGAAGAGATGTGGCCAGCTAATGACTGGGCTGCGACCCTGTTCCCCGCATCCCAAGCTGTCCCTCTTGAAGTGTCCTATCACAGGCCACCACCATCTGGAGCAAGGCTGCCCCTCCAGCTGGGCTAGGGGCTCACAGAGGCCCTTCATTCAGAGTGGCCACCTTGGTTCCCAAGGATTGTGAGATGTGGTGCTGGGACTCACTGACACATGGCTGAGTGTGAGGTCAGTTTGCAGAGCTTCCAGGTGATGGTGTGGGGAACCCATACCCCACCTCGGACCAAGCCTAGTGTCCTGGCCTTGGCTGAGACGCGCTTCCAGGCACTTGGACTGTAGTTGAAACGTCAGCTACTCCATACCATGTAACAGCAACTTTAATCCCATTTCACAGATGAATTGGGTGTGGAAATGAATTCAGGGTGACATTCTCACAAGGAGCAGGGCCCAGTCAGACTGATCCAAGGCCAGAACAGGGTGAGGTGGGAGGCGGGAGAGGGGCTGACCTGGGCGGGAGGAGGGCAGTGAGAGGTCCCCGCATGGGGCTTGGGAGCCCTCAGCTGGTCTAGCAATTTCCATTTTTGTAAGTCCTCAGCTGGTAGGTGGCAGAGTAGGTAACTGAGGCCAGGCCTCCCGTCACCTCCTCAGGCCTATGGCTGGAAGCCAGGGAAGCTCCAGCCCCTGGGGCCTGTGTAGGGCAGAGAGGCCCAGCGACCCTGGGGGCCGTGCAGAGGACGGCGCTGCTGGCCCCCTCCCCACAGTCCCCACAGCCTCGCTTGGGCCCCAGTTCCCAGGTGGTGGTCTGTCCAGGGACATGCTGGAGAGCCAGGTCCTGCACCAGAAGCCAGAGCATGGGACCCTCGAGGACTCCTGACCAGGAAGGGCCATCAGGACTAGCTCTATCTGCCACTTGCCAGGAGCTTAGGGTCTGGGAGAGGGGCCCACCCTCCCAAGCCTGGGGCCGTTCCTCAACCAGCCTGCTGCTGCCTGGAGCCATCCGCAGTGGGGAGCCCCACCCAGGGACAGGACAGGACAGACGCGGTGGCATAACGCCCCTGGCTTCACTGAGGGGGACTGGGTCTCTGGTGCAGACTTCACGTGTTCCCGTGCCCCAGCCTGACTACAGTCACACAGCCACGAGGGCCTGCCAGGCTGCCACACCCTCGCCCACCTGGCCAGCGCTGCCAGTGCTCAGGCCCTCAGAGGCCACGTCGCCCTCATGGTGGCCATCACCACACTGCCTTCTGCCCAGGGTGGGAGGGGACCCCTCAAGTCCTGCCCCCTTGAGTTTCCCCGAGTGGGAGACTGTGCAACAGTGAGGCTCCTGCAGGTCAGAGGACCGCAGTGCTCGGGAAGGGACTGGGAGGGCAGGACTGGGGCGGCCGGGCTGTTCTGGGTACTTAGACTGTGACCCCCATGCTGTGCCTGCGCCCTACTT